GCTGTGAAAGCAGCACAGCCCCAAGACTTGCCTGCCGCCGACGCACTGTGTCGGATGTGACCGTAAGGACACTGGTCTAACACAGACAGGTGCCCTGCACGAGCCGCAAGTGTCAGGCCTGTGGTCGCTATGGACACTACGACAAGTGCTGCCGCCAACCCAATCCCAAAAGCCCGGAGACGAGGAGGAAAGCAGCGCACTTCCTCGGGTGGTTCGACACAGCCCCTCCAGATGGCCCACGCAGCCCCAAGCAGCAGCGGAGTCACATCAGGAGGGTGGATCGACCACACGCCCCAGGGCTACCCTTCCCTACTATCCGCGTCGCCGTCACACACGGTGATGTGTCGGTCACATCGAGGTGATACCGGACACCGGCGCCGATACTACGGTGATTGGTGAAGCACCTCCAGAAACTGGGCCTCACCAAACGCGGCCTGGGGACCACCGCCGCAGCGCTGCAGTACTACAATGCGGACGGTTCCCAGATGCCGGACGCTGTGGGCTCCTTTTCAGGCAGAGATCACCTACGGCGACAGGTCGTGTTACGGATGGATCGACGTGCGGCCTACTCGCTCTACACCTTGTTGTCGTGGGAGCACTGCAAGGAGTTAGGCGTGGTGCCCAGAGACCTTCTCGAGCAGATCCCAGCTGCTCGGTACACCGCCAGCAGGGTGTGCGTGAGTTAACGAGCGACGCGCCTGGCACTGCCACACAGAGCTGCCCAGAACCCGCGTCCACTCCCACCCACACAGGACGCTCCTGCCCAGATCCTGTATGGTCACCCTTTCCGCTCTTGCGTTTCTACACACGCCAAGGCCTTTGCGGAGGACTGGCACAGAGCCGAGAGCTGCTACCGCCGCACCGCTACACGTGCCCAGGACGCCAAGGCTCGGTATGACGACCGTGCCCGCCTCTTTCAGCCGCTGGAGATTGGTGCCCTTGTCTGCGTCCAGGACCCGACGACGACACGTCGGCACGGTTGGCATAGTGATGGGCGTCGGCCGGTCGCGGACTACAAGGTCAGGATGCCGAGTGGCCGTGTCTGGTGGAGGAACCGCCGCTTCCTCCGGCCAGTCCCACCCCTGCTGCTGGCCCTGACCGAAGACGAGTCACCTACACCTCACGAGGATCCGCCCCACAGTGCACCTCGACGCTGAGCGACTTAGGACTAAGAAGTCCGCTCAAGACAAAGACTATGAGCGTGAGGGGAGGAGATGTAGGTGCATCTAAGCTACTGTGCCGAGTAGCAACCCTGTACATAAGCTACTGTGCGAGCTAGAGCATATAATCACGTGGCAACACTGCACGTGTTATGTGGCAACATTGCCCCGAGGCTGCCATATGGCAAGGCAGCCTCAGTCTGACTGTGTGAGCCGTGCATGGTACACGCTGGTCACCACTTGTATTTCTCTCATCCACAAAACGGATCTAGTGTTACTCAGTGTTTCCTAGCCATCACTGCATTCTTCAGGGCACACTAGTAACCTTCTATATATATATGTATGTTTATATGCTGCCTTTATTGAATATATATATTATATATTATGTTACTCTACCAAAGTCAGAAAGTGTTTTAAGCTACTGTGCCGAGTAGCATTTATATATATCATCACATGGCAACACTGCACGTGTTATGTGGCAACATTGCCCCGAGGCTGCCATATGGCAAGGCAGCCTCAGTCTGACTGTGTGAGCCGTGCTTGGCACACGCTGGTCACCACTTGTATTTCTCTCATCCACAATAAACGGACTCAGTGTTACTCAGTGTTTCCCTAGCCATCATTGCATTCTTCAGGGCACACTAGTAACTTTCAGTTAACACGCTTAGTCTCGTGTCGACGACGGTTCACAGGACGGAGTGGGGTGGAGGACTCTGTGTGGTGTGGTGTCCCGCCCCCCCTTCAGGAGGGAGAGGCTGGAGGCGACGTCTTAACTAACCCGTGGCTCAGGGGATACTACTTAAAATGAGATTTTTGGGTGTGAAGCGATGAACAGTACAACACTGTTTCACTGCCCACCCCCCTAAAGGCTGGCTAACATACACTAATTGAAAAATACATGTCCCAGTTATGCCTCGCCGGGCGTCTTATCTCTGGTAAAACAAACTTTGGAGTTGGTTGCGTGGGTAAGCCTAACGCAACCCATGACAACGAATGTTAACCATTACATCTATTAAAATACTAGAAAAATATAAACGTCCGACGGAAATGCCATAATAATGGTGTCTTAACGGGTAGAATAGTCTGAAGTCTGAACTATGAGAAAAAAATTTGTTTTTAATTTAGAAACTGAGTTGGGCTCACTTATGCATATTTACCTCGGTTATATAACTGATATGATATTATTAATAAAGGTCTTACCGATGCCTCATGCGGATATTTCCAAGACTATCAGGTCGTCGAGTGGTTACTCCGCCCTCCTCTGTCTGCTCCTGCTGTGTACTTGTGCTGCACTGCAGCTGTTGAGTGTTGACAGACAAACAATCTACAGACGAGAAGCTCTCCCCTGTACCCCGTGGGGAGGATTTAGTAGCGCTGTTGACTCAGAGGGCGCTCACCTCCACATACCATTTATTATTACTTTTTTACGCTGAAAATATAAACAGTCATGTGAATAATCATACATAAAACTAAAATCAAATGAAACTATATTCGCATGTAACAGCGTCTGTGACAATAATATGAGTTTTTGGTGCCAAATAACTGAAAATAAAGAATTCACGATTTAAACAAGAGAATGTTCCTTCGTTCTTGGGGAACTTAAGCAAATTATAGATCTATTACACAACTGCAAACTTTGAAGTAATCTAATTATATTCACTAACAATACCGTACTTTAGCAAAGCCTATACGTTGGTGGGACTTAAATACTGCCTGGTTCGTTTACTTAGACTCGTAGAGAGATGGTGGGTGGAAGTAGTAGTCCAAACCCGGTCCGACTAATTACCCAAATGTACCCAAATATAGTCGCAATGAAGTCAAATAATGGTCCTACATGAATAAATCGGACTGCTAATCACTTCTCGACTAGTATTTGGTGTCAGAAAGTCACAAAAAATTGGAAAACTTACTTTAATCTGAGTTAATAGATCGCGTGCATGTACCGACGGAGCGAGGAATTACCCAAATGTAGCCGCAATGAAGTCAAATGATGGTCGTACAAGTGTAATTCGGGCTGTGAATCACTTCTCGATTATTATTTGGTGTCAAAGTAAAAAAAAAAATTGGTAAACTTAATTTAACCTGAGTTGTATTGTTAGGTACATGCGCTTGATCTATTAACTTAGATTAAATTAAGTTTACCAATTTTTTGTGACTTCGTGACACCAAATACTAGTCGAGGTTAGGTTAGGTTAGGTTAGGTTAGGTTTGGTTAGATTAGGTTAGGTACATGCGCTTGATCTATTAACTCGGATTAAATTAAGTTTACCAATTTTTTGTGACTTTGTGACACCAAATACTAGTCGAGAAGTGATTGGCAGTCCGATTTATTCATCTAGGACCATTATTTGACTTCATTGCGACTACATTTGGGTACATTTGGGTAATTCCTCGCTCCGTCGGTACATGCACTCGATCTATTAACTCAGATTAAAGTAAGTTTTCCAATTTTTTTGTGATTTTCTGACACCAAATACTAGTCGAGAAGTGATTGGCAGTCCGATTTATTCATCTAGGACCATTATTTGACTTCATTCCGGCTACATTTGGGTACATTTGGGTAATTAGTCGGACCCGTCCAAACCATCTTGCCACTTAGGAAACAAACTACTGCTGCTAAGAGATTTTCTTTTAAACTTATAGGTTTTACCTTTGATTAATCTTTAAATAAACTTGACAAGTGGTCTGGGGGGTTGGTTTCTCCTTTACAATGTGGATAAATGAGAACGCTTTGCCAGATCAGAATGACATAGCTCTTCTTAGTAGAGGTAAAGGGCATGTTGAGAAATACGGCCTCAAGCCAAGTCTACAATGTGGTAAAACTGCATCCAAAGTCATGAGTGTCATAGTCTTAGGCTACTGTATAAAACCTACATTATATCATATAATTATACAGTGCTGTATTCTAGTCTAAAAACATAAAGTGCCTGGAGCAGATTCATTAAGAGCCAGCAAGTTAGTCCTACAATCACTAGACATATGTTAAGAGTGGCAAATAGAGTGAAGAAAGTGAGGATGAATCACGCTAATAGGATTTTGTCTGTGAATCAAGAATACACGTTTTCAAACAGTCGTAACTACAATTGGATACACTTCACACATTTCACATATACTTTCTCATCATTTCATATAATAATTATATCTTAATCGTCAAGAGTCATTTTCCATTTCGTAATACTTTAATACTAATATGTTGGATAATACAGTCATGGGTGATTTATTTTATTGAATATGTTAACGATAATATCAGAGTGTTTTATTAACATGTTCTTAATTTGATAAACCTAACCACAACCTTAATTAAAGTCATAACTGAGATCAACCTGAAGATTAGACAACCCCATCTTATTTCACCTTAACATTTACCACACTAACTCTACCTGGGGGTATGGGTTTGGTTAAGGGATGTCAGGATAAATTTAGTTTGTTTAGGTTAAATTAGGTAAGGATAAATAAGGTTAGGTCAGGTTAAATTAAGTTAGCATTAGGGTGGTTAATATTCAGGTGAAATAAGCCCGAGTGTCTAATTTCAAATGATCTCACACCTGACATATATACAGTATATATATAAAAGCAGAATACAATATAGTTTAAAAAAATGGTAAAGTTCTTAGCCATATTATGATGGAATTGTAGTTCTCAACTCTTTGCCTGTAGCTGTATAAAGATTCACACAAGACACAACCATACAGTTTGCATTATGAAAATCTTTTCTTGGATAATATTTCAGTCAATTTCTGCCTACATACCAGGTATATTCTGAGACGCTACACTTATTAAGGTAACTATTGGGAGAGCTCAAGGTTTTCTTAAGTAGTTTTAGGCTTTTAAAATACCGTACAGGATTATTCATATTTAATGTTACCAGTACAGTACAGTAGATTATTATTTTATGTTACCAGTAGTGTTCATATAAATGGACAAAATAATTTAATTTATCGTCAATGTTTCATACTTTCAATATAACCATTTATAGCTACAGGGTATTTAAGATGTTCAAATACATAGGTTGGTGCAGGTTTAAAATACAGTACCACATTGCCTTTAAGTTAATTTCAAATATTAAAAACTGGTTTTGTAATTAAATTGAAGGCAATGTGGTATTTTAAACCTGCACCAACATATGTATTTGAACGTCTTAAATACCCTGTCGCTATAAATGGTTATGTTGAAAGTATGAAACATTGACGATAAATTAAATTATTTTGTCTGTTTACCTACACAGTACAGGTAACATTTACTGATGGTTCTCTATACCTCACTGCAATCTCCCAAAATAGTTCTCAACACCCGATGGGGAATATTTACCAAGTGAGTTTTTCAATATAATGGCTGGTAGTCTGTTATTGTGATTATTATACAGTGATCACAGTATGGCAAATCTATACACAAATCTCTCTCTCCCACGGTAAACACGGAGTGACTCTAGATAATATTAAAAAAAAAAAAAATCCATACACCAACAAATAACAGGTCAAGATCCACGTGAATATTTAAAGACTCTGATGAATCATATTAGTAACAAATATATATTCCATAGTTTCTCTATTTCAGTACATCTGTTAAGTTCACTATTCTCAAAATTCTTTTATGGACAACCCGTTTTGGTCAGTTTTAAAATTAAGGCACTTTTATACACCTGCCACACCACATGGGAAATTACTGTACAGTACTTGTATTTTGCACTATTCCTGAAACTGATACTGGATAACTGATGTACATTTTCTTCACTAAAATTTCTGATTGGCAAAATATGATAGAGATTGAAAAATAATTAATCTTTTCATTGTCCAATAACCTCCTAAAAGGTCAATTCTTTTTATAATTAGCATAGTCAGCCATACAAAGTCACCACCTACGTTATATGACCATTTTTCCACGTTTGTTGGGAGGGTTAGCCGTGATTACCTGATGGCAACTGATGGATAAAACTAACAAGTTTTATTAGTAAACAACTGAGTGCTGAGCAGGTACATCTCTAATTACTCTATCTTACAGATTATAAACAATATGTGTGGGAAGAATTGCACTGTTAGGTGTTTTGCATCAGTTCATCACGGACCCATTTGAAATTATCTTGTGATCGTACTAACTTCTCTATCTTCAGCCCTTGCCAGGTTATCTTATAGCCCTGATGGATTATACTACACAGGGGTCATGTCAGGTTATCTTCTTGCCAGGGCAATCACCTTGGGTCCACATATCGTCATCTCGTGGCCATGTCCAGTTCCTGTAGGGCCATATAGGAGTTTCTGAACACCATGATATGTTATCTTGGTGGGGGGGGACCTTGCATCGTTATCCCAAGGCCATGTAAGATCGTCTTAGGACCACAGAAAACGGTGTCACATATAGTTATCTTAAAATCACAGAAGAATGGTCTTGATGTTATGTAATATTATCCTGGGGTCATAAAGTTATCTTGGCGTTGCATAAAGTTATTCTGGGACCAAATAATGTTGTCTTGGCGCTGCATAAAGTTATATCCTGGGACCACATAAAATTCTCTTGGGATCGTGTTGTTATCTCTTGAAACTTCTAAGGTTATCTTGGTGTCATGTAATAAGGGTGAAGGCCCTGAGCACCGTAGTGATAGAAGGACTGAGCTCCCTGCAGGTTCATGGCCCCCTGAGCATGAGCTGACCCGGCGAACATGTGGCCCTGCAAGATGTGGAAACAATAATATTGAAGCAAAAAAAAAAAAGTATATTGTTGTAGTTATTTCCAAAGGACGAGAATGGCTACATATATGACCAGATCCAAATAATCGTCTTTTCCATGAATACACTACAAGGGTGACAACTTTAAACTGCTATCATTGTTAATAATTTTACCTACGAGTTACAAATTAACAAGCTGCTCATGGTGTTATTATTGCCTTTGGTTAACTATAGATTGGCTCTTGACTCTGGGTAACAGGGTAGGATATTAGAGTCATGCCAAGGAAAATAAGATTACGTATTATTGAGATTAAAGTGAATATGATGATCTGTAATTGCCTGAAATAGTTCTTGGCCAAAGGCTGGACGCATGAGGTTGGCAGCCATGTTCGCCGTGGTGTCGTCCCTGAAGAAGGCTGCTGACGACGTGGACGACGTAGAGGAACCCGGGGAGGAGTTTGACGGAGAAAAGGAGGGAGCGGAAGATGATGAGGGTGAGAAGTTGTTTCTGGCTGCCTGGAGAGCCATGGCAGCCTCCATCCTGGCTCCTGGACTGCCAGAGTCACTCATGTACTGACTGGTGCTGCTGCCTCCCATGCTGCTGTTACTGCCAGCCTGACTGTAGACAAAATAATCAGGCTATCATCTAAAGCAACACAATTTAACCTAACCCTAATCTGATTATCAAGAAGCAAATAGTTGAAGATGTCGTGTTGAAGACTATTGTATTTTGATTCCTAAGTGATCTACTTCACGTATTTCAAAGACTCAAACTTAAGAACAAAACAAATGTGTCTTAGTTATGTCTAGGATCAAGTTTATTCACGTCGACATACTCATCTAAGTTAATAACACAGCGTCTAGTTTGAGTCTGGGAAACCTTACTCACATCGACACACCTACTCACCTGAATAACTGAGCTTTGGTTGCATCCAGGCCGGAGAAATGGGCGTGAGAGTGAGGGGTGTGATGATGGTCCCTGACGTAGGAAGCAGAGACGGTACTCTTGCCAAAGCTACAGTCGCTCCTTCCAGCACCCTCACCTACCCCACCACTTCCCGATGACCCGCCAACCCTACAATACCAGTCATGTATGTACACATTGTTTTTCATAAACTGTAACGTCTAAAACAAATATACATGAGACTTAAAAAGCTCAAATGAACAATAAAATACAAGGCATTAAGTAGTTTAGCTAACAGATAAATATTCCCCACAGTGACTTTAATAATTTATAGGCAATTCTCTGTATCTACCTATTATGGGTGAGATGTCCAAAGAGGTGTAATTAATACTATAACAAGATTCGTGCAAAGGTGATCTTACTTTATAACGAGAACCTGTCTGTATGTTTCTAATAATCCGAAAACTCACAGGAAAATGCCTACAACAACAGGAGAGGATCGAATTTCGTAAGTCTTACCTTAAGTTGTGTTGATGTTGTGGTGTCTTGGGCGGTGTGGGCGGTGCGGCGTGGGCGTGGGAGGGCGGGAGAGTCATGCTCATACCCACGCCAGGACAGTACCCTCCACCTCCACCCATTAACCCTCTGGGGGAAATTACAAACATGTTAGGGAGCTGTATAGGTAACTGAAGTCTTTTTTTTTTATAAGTTTTAGTAATTCTTTGGATTTTTTTGAGAAGAATGTAAATAATAATGAATCTATTATGGTTATGCTCTATTAGTGTGATTTACAAGGCTGTTATATCAGTTAAGAGTGTATACATAACAGTTAATGAAAAGTGGGAAGAAAGTCTGAGTGTGTGTGTAAAAAGTGTGAAGGTCTGTGTAAAAACTGAGTAGGTTTGTGTAAAAAGAGTGTGTGTGTGTGTGTGCGTGTGTGTCTGTGTGTAGAAAGTAAGTGTAGAAAGTGTCTTTGTAGAAGGTCTGTGTAGAAAGGCTGTGTAGAAAGTGTGTGTGTGGAAAGATTGCATAGAAACCCTGTGTAGAAGGTATGTGTTGAAAGCATGTGTAGAAAATGTTATGTAGTTCCTTAGCAAGTGTGTGAGTGTGGTCTTGACTACCCTACAATATTAACATCAAGAGAAAACTCACCACACAGAATCTACCACCTTAACATGTCCAGTAATTAGCATCAGGGTCACAACAAGCACACCTGTCCATCTCCAAGTCGATTGATACACCCTTTGATACCTTCCCCTTAACAGTCCACCTCACCGATACTTTCCCTTCATTTAGTCCTCTTTTTCCTCCTCTCGTCTTTACATTACGTTCTTGTTCCTTTGTTTACATCTCCTCCTCTCCCTTAGTCCCTCTTACCGTTTTGATTTCCTCATTCTTCTGCCGCCATGTCCTATGTCCGTTCTTGTATCCCTTACCATCCCTACTTCTAGTTCCCCTGTCCCCTACCATCCCTAACCCAACTTCCCCCGATCCTACCATTCATACCTTCAGTTCCCCTGTCCACTGCTCCCTACCTCCCATTCCCCTGTCCACTGCTCCCTACCATCCCTACCTCCCATTCCCCTGTTCCCTACCATCCCTACCTCCCATTCCCCTGTTCCTACCATCCCTACCTCCCATTCCCCCGTCCACTGCTCCCTACCTCCCATTCCCCTGTCCACTGTACCCTACCATCCCTACCTCCCATTCCCCTGTCCACTGTACCCTACCATCCCATTCCCCTGTCCACTGTACCCTACCATCCCATTCCCCTGTCCACTGCCCCCTTCCTCCATTCTCCTGATCCTACCACCCCAACTTCCCTTCTCCACGTGACCCTTCACAGCCAAACTCACCCCTGGACTCGGTAGGAGAGCGGCGGTGCCCCCGTGTCTCCCTCCATCAGGCTAGAGAGACTCTTCGGCGGTTTACGTCGACGTGGCTGATACTGTAGGAGGAACACCTTGATTAACGTGGCTCCCTATACCTGTAGCTTCAACTTTAGACAGAAAGAATATAACACACTTTAGGAAGGCTTAATATATACGATTTTTTTATTTATCAACAGGTAGATTTAACAGGTGTCGGTTGATACTAATTAGCAGGGTTTCTAATTATCTTTGGGTAGGCAGGTACTCTTTAATTACCTCACCTGTGCCCATCCCTTGGTTTCTACTGTATTTGGGAGGGGGGGGGAGGGGTTGTGATGGTGAGCAGGGAGTAGGTGGGTGGGGGGAGGTAAATCCTGTTCTGGTTTTACCCAACAACTGTCAGAAAGTAATCACAACTAACCCAAATAATCGTAGAAAATTACCATATAAAACATTGATGATTATGATGATGACAACAGGTAGACTCAACAGGTGTAAACAGATAGTAAGTAGGGGGGAATATAATTAACAACAGGTGTAGATGGATAATTAGGGGAATGTAAATACTAATTAGAGAGAACTAATTAATAACAGGTAAAGGTAGATAATTAGGTTAAGGGCATTAATCACCTTATAATCGGGATGGTCTTTCTTGTGTTGTGAGCGTAGTCGTTCAGCTTCCTCGATAAAGGGCAATTTCTCCTCGTCACTCAGCACTCTGTGTGGGAAGGGCAAGTTGTGAGGGTCATGACTGAGGAAGGGCAAGTTATTGGACAAGGCTGAGACAGGGCAGGTTGTGATGGGCAAGGATAAGAAAGGGTACCTGAATCTCCCTCTACACACCTGTACCTCCTACACACCTGTATCTCCCTCTACACACCTGTACCTCCCTCTACACATCTATCACTCTCTACACACCCGTATCTCCCTCTACACACCTGTCACTCTCTCTACACACCTGTCATACTTGCCTCTACCACAGCCCACGTTGTCATTATATTCAACTTACTACCTCCCCACCTACTACCCCCACCACACCTACCACCGTCACCCCCACCACACCTACCACCCCCACCACACCTACCACCGTCACCTCCACCACACCTACCACAGTTACCGCCACACACCTACCACCATCACACCTACCACCGTCACCGCCACCACACCTACCACCGTCACCATACCCACCACCGTCACACCCACACACCCACCACCGTCACCCCCACCACCCTAACCACATACCACCCCCATCACCCACACCACCACATACCTCCAGACCTTGCCCAGGGTCTTGGAGAGTTCAGCATTGTGTAATTGTGGGTACTGATCTGCCAACCTCCGCCTCGCCGCCTGTGCCCATACCATAAACGCATTCATGGGTCGCTTGATGTGGGCACGGTGCTTCAAGGACGACTTCTGGGTCATGGGCAGCAACGTCCAGTCGTATCCTGTAGGGTGTGGGTAGAAAGGTAAGTTGTGGGTCGAATATACTGTCTATAGAAGGTAGGTATTTATCTTTGTATTGTAACGACTAATGAGTGGTACTGCCTCAAACCACTCGTGGCGTACATAGATTGGTACTCAAAACTACAGTACTCTCTGATTGTACTGTATGTTATGTTAGTTACCTCACATCTTTATCAGGTGTTTGGAATGGCGCACACATTAAATATGATGCAGGATAAAACAATGGAACAGCTCAATACATCTAATGTTTTTTTGTGTAATTTTTTTTTTTACGGGGAATAGCCCACCCGGGCACAAGTCATCGACCCACAACGGGGCCTGGGGGGGAAATAATTGTAAAAAGAAATTAAAAATAGAAGAGAAAAATATTATATTAATCTACACCATACACGAAGATGCCGGAAAACCAGCTTTTTAAAGTGAGACATTGTATGAGTATGGAAACACAGAGTTTGGCTGTGTGAAGAAAAAAGGAAGTACGAAAACGGGTTATTGTATTGTAGTGTGACCGACATCCACAGAGAAACTGTGGGCACCGCGGGCAAGACGAGTGTTACGAGCCTACGGTCTTGCCGGCGGTACACAAGATGCCAAATCCACCGAACATTGCCCGTTAAAGTACCTGTAAAAGAGAGAGAGTGAAGCAACATTGTGGCGAAGAGAAAGGGAAGAAATATTGTCAACTAAAGAAGGAGAGTCAATAAGACGAAATGCCTTTGATTCCACCCTATCTAACAGTTGGGCAGGAGAAGAGCCACCCCAGATATGAGAGCAGTACTCCAAGTTAGGACGAATGAATCCCTTATAAACTTGAAGCAACTGCTCAGGAGTGAAGTAGCTACGGCATCTGTACAGCATTCCCAGCTTTCGGGAGGCGGCATCAGTAATGTTGTGGATGTGTGGCTTCCATGACATATTGGAGGAAATGATGAGGCCTAGCATATATATTTTAGAACCTGGCAGAATGATTGCGTCCTGAAATGTGATTGGTGGGACATCATCTAATTTGGAAAGTGTAAATGGTAAATAATGAGTTTTATTACTATTGAATTTAACCAAGTTTCTACCTTCCCATTCGGAGATGCTGCACAGATCCGCATTGATAGATGAAATGATATCAGCTCTAGAAACAGATCTAGTGTGAGAATTAGGGGGAAGGGAAAAATGTGAAGAAGAATGAAGAGTAGAATCATCAGCGTAAGAATGGATATAATTAGTCGTAGTGTGAAGTAAATCATTGATTAAAAGAAGGAAGAGAGTAGGTGAAAGAACGGAACCCTGTGGGACACCACTGTTGATAGAGAAAGAGCGAGAGATCGATCCTTCGACAACAACTGCCATGGATCGGTTCTCAAGGAAGTTAGAAATTAGAGAACAAAGTGGGGGAGAGAAACCATAAGAAGGAAGTTTAGAAAGCAAACACTTGTGCCATACCCTGTCAAATGCTTTGGAGATGTCGAGGGCCACGACGAAAGTTTCCCCATAATCCCTCGGAGAGGATGACCAAAGATGGGTGCAATAGGAGAGCAGATCACCAGTATAGATCTCGCCTGGCGAAACCCATACTGGTGATCCGACAAAAGAGAGGAGCGTTCGAGGTGACGGAGAAAATGAGAGTTTAAGATAGTTTCGAAAATCTTAGAGAGGGATGAAGTTAGGGCAATGAGGCGATAGTTAGAGGGATTAGAATGGTCGCCCTTCTTCGGGATGGGCTGAACCAAGGCATGCTTCCAAGAAGAAGGAAAAAATTGGGTTTTGAGGCAAGTCGAAAGAGGCGAGCAAACACAGTGGCTAGAATTTCAACACACCCCCTCAGAACACGAGGGGGTATTCTGTCCGGTCCATGCGCCTTACTCACAGCCAACCTGGATAACACACCAGCAACCCTACGAGTCGGAGATTATAGGAAAGTGCATAGGTTCAGTAGGAGGAGTAGGAGGGATAGAGTTGGAATCGTCTAAGATGGAGTTAGAGGAGAATGAGGTGCCAAAGAGATCGGCTTTATCAGGGGGAGAGTTGGCTATAGAGTTATCAGGTCGGAAGATAGGGGGAAAAGAGGGAGTGCAGATGTTTTTGGTTAAGGACCAGAAGGATTTACTAGAAGAAGAGTTAGTTAGGACAGCGGTCTTTCTTTTTATAAAATTCCACTTGGCCCTACGAAGAACAACCTTACAACAATTCCTAGAAGTAATGAAAGAGGTGTGGGTAATAGGAGGAGATAGTTTCATAACTTGATACACCCTATCTCTCTCCCTACATGCAAGAGAACAAGAGCGACCAAACCATGATTGTAAAGTGAAAGTTTTGGTGTGTGTAGCAGCCAGATCAATATACAGCAGCAGGTGCAGTATACTTTACAGCAGCAGGTGCAGTGTACCTTACAGCAGCAGGTGCAGTGTACCTTACAGCAGCAGGTGCAGTATACTTTATATTTTACTTATCAATTACTCTTTTAAGTTGTACATGTTATCAGAACAAATATGAATGAAAATTACGATAAAAATATTTCAAATGACATGCTTAAATTTTTTAATTTGTTAATTAATTGTGCATTGCAATGGTGACCTTTGTAAAAAAAAATATACAATATATAATGAGAAATATGAACATTACATACTGTACAGTAAAACCAATTCGTGAATATCAAAGAGAATGCAAATTAAAAATGTAAGTGAGATATTTAAAAAATATGAGGAAGCATATAATTAAATATACGATTATGAAAAAAAAAATTAAGAAAAAATATAAAGAATATGAAAAAAATAGTCTATTGTTTTGTTCATTTGTTCAGTTATTTTTTACATTACACGATCAACGCACAATTGAAAATAAATTAGTCACTCACTATTTACAACCATTTTCTAAGATGTAGTACAGGTTAAATACTTTTTTTTTAATAGTTACCCATGTAATACCAAAACTCTCTTTATGATGTCACACCGAAAAAACTAATCGATTTTAAAGGGAATTCAATATCCTTCCTGTTTAATCCTTGGCTAGGACTGTGTGTTAGGTATTTAGTCATCCAGCTCCGTGTCAGTTACTGTTTTGTTTGGTTGAGGGTTTGTCTTGTTATATACATTTCAGGCGACCCCGAGTGTTAATTAAAGATCTCTTGTCCGCTATTTGATCTCTTTCTATCTATTGACTAACCTTCTTACCTGAGCTGAGTAAAAGTTCATAACATATACCTGAGGCGTGTAAAAGTATAAAAGTGACGGATCAAAGTATATAAAACAAAAAGTGTCAAAGTGAACTTGCTTTCATTTATATAAGTGAAAGAAGGATGTAAAGTGACATAGACTTCCACTACAGACTTACTTTTAAGGTTACTTCATTCATACTTGGTTGTGTTTACCTTTTCTGACCAAACTGATGATGGATTTAGACGAAGAGGAATTTGTTTTTCAACTGCGCCATAGGCATATAATTTATATGTATACATACATGTATGTATGTATGTATGTATGTATGTATGTATGTATGTATGTATGTATTATGTAGTGTAATGGTCAGTATGCTGGCTTCGCAAGCAAGCAGATCCGGGTACGACCCCCGGGCAGGGTAAAACTATGGGCAAGTTTCTTACGTCATTTGCCTCCGTCTACCCAGCAGTAATTGGGGACCTGGATGTTAATCGATTTGCGGATCGTGTTCCGGGGTAATGGTTAGCCAGTGCAGTTGGCGAGTTGTCCGGTCTTCTCGGAGTATTCCTTGGCACTGTGTAACCTAGGCTTGAATTTGTGTAAGGTGTAGAAGCTGTCGCCAACACAACAACCACACCTGGATTAACATCCAGGTTCCCAATTACTGCTGAGTAGAGAAGAGGCAAATAGCGTAAAGTAACTTGCCCATAGTTTTACCCTGCCCGGGGATCGTACCCGGGTCTGTTCGCTTGCGAAGCGAGCATGCTGACCATTACACTACAGGTCAAACGGGTTCCCTATTGTCGGTAAACATTGGCAACAGATATAGATCCCTCCAGGTCCCAAACTAGAAACAGTTCCCGCATTTAGTCAAGGACCTGTAGCCGTCGTTCCGACAATTTATGTGTCACCGATGTTTACCGACAGTAGGGAACCCGCGTCATTAATAAATAAAGAACATTTAACGGTCACTATTGTCGCGTTATCATCTAAACATGGAGCCCCTCCTTCACATGACATGGCATAAATGTTTGGTGGTTCATGAACTGTAAAATTCGACAGCAGAATTGACTGGAGAGTTCTGCTTGCAACGTCTTCCTTTAAATGCGGGAAGGTGTTTATTTGGTGTAAGATATAGATAGGTAGAAGTGTGTTAGGTCCTTGAAGGTGGTGTGGGTCAGAGGACGTGCCCCCCACGCGGTGTTTGGAGGGCGTGTGTTTGGGGTGAGGTAGTGAGGGTGGGTCGGTTTGTTTGGGCTGGGAGAGGTGGAGCTCGTGTTCGCGCCCACCCACGCTCTGCCTTGGTGCCCTGAGGAAGCCGCGCTTTGCCCTGCATCTCTGCAAGCTTTCCTGTTTGATCTGTTTCAATTCTTTTATAATAAATGCTTTTTCCTTGCCTCTTCCATGCAAAAGTTGAAATAACAGCAATTAAATCTCGGCTTTACAACGTGGGAGTGAATTAAAATGAACAATTAAGTCCTTCCCCTAAACAGTGTTAACTAAATGCGTAAGGAAGATCGGAAACCACTGAATAATTACCAAGTTGAAAATAAGACATAACCCAGTTGGTGAAAACAAATGACCACTTTTGTCCAGGGTTCAGTTTCACTGAGGTTCGCATGACGAGTATTGGTTGTAACTGGCCGAGAATAGTGTACACCTAAATGATTAAAAAAAAAGGAAAACAAGGGTGAAATTATTTTAGGGGTTATTAATAGCATTATACAACTCTTTGACCCCAGTGTTAAGGAGTACCAACATTCCTGAGAGAGAGAGAGAGAGAGAGAGAGAGAGAGAGAGAGAGAGAGAGAGAGAGAGAGAGAGAGAGAGAGAGAGAGAGAGAGAGAGAGAGAGAGAGAGAGAGAGAGGCCGATACAGACACACACACACACACACACACACACACACACACACACACACACACACACACACACAGGAGTGGTGGCAGCGTCTTTTCGGCGCCGATGCTTGTTTGCCTCGGTTTGCAGTCGGGCTAACTCGAAAGTACTGACATCTTCTCGTGTGGTGCTCCTCCAAGCGTTACAGTGTGGAGTGATCGTCTCCCAAGTGAGGGGGTCGATTTGGCACTTTTGGTGGTCATTCACGTCCTGTCGGCGCCGATGCTTGTTTGCCTCGGTTTGCAGTCGGGCTAACTCGAAAGTACTGACATCTTCTCGTGTGGTGCTCCTCCAAGCGTTACAGTGTGGAGTGATCGTCTCCCAAGTGAGGGGGTCGATTTGGCACTTTTGGTCCTCCTCCCATCACCCTCACCATCCTGTCCTTGTCCTCCTCCCATCACCCTCACCATCCTGTCCTTGTCCTCCTCCCATCACCCTCACCATCCTGTCCTCCTCCCATCACCCTCACCATCCTGTCCTCCTCCCATCACCCTCAACATCCTGTCCTCCTCCCATCACCCTCACCATCCTGTCCTTGTCCTCCTCCCATCACCCTCACCATCCCATCACTGCCCTCACCATCACTATAAGACTCATGCGTTCATCGGCTCTCCATCAGTGCATTAAGGAACAATGGTCTTACTTACCTCTCAATTATAATCCTGTCACAATGCTATACACAATATTTTTTGGGGGGGCAACATTTTACACTGTAACTAGGCCACGAGGCTACCTAAAACACATTTCCGGGGGACTTAATCGACTTGTAGTTGTGACTGAAGTTGTGATCGAGGTTGTGACTGACTGAGGTTGTGGCAGAGGTTGTGACTGACAGGTTGTGACGGAGGTTGTGAGTGAGGTGACTGGGGTTGTGACAGGGGTTGTGACAGAAGTTGTGACTGGCAGGTTATGACTGACAGGTTGTGACAGAGGTTGTGACAGATCGTAACTGAGGTTGTGACAAGTTATGATTGAGGTTGTGACTGAGAAAGGTTGAAATAAAGGAAGTTAAGAAGCCGACAACGAAAATGCAATAGGGATCACGTATGCAGAGGTATGCAGCACTTGTTAATAGTAAATACAGAAATCATAGCAAATGGAAGCCGTTGACTCTGGCTGGGTGTGTGTGCCCGCCTTTGATCCCAAATAGACCATAAAGCAGGCATAATAAACGCCGTGATTGCCGCACGCCACTGAATGATTATTTGAAAAGGTGTCATGAAATCTGTCAACCACTTCCTTCAGTCTCCTCACCATTACCCCGCCAAATGTCCGACAAGTTGCCACATAACTTTCCACACCGGGATTTTAAGATTTAACAAAATAAATAATACCAAAACACCATATATTTAATAACACTAAGTTAGAAGTAGTGTAGTATAATCATTTAATTTAAAATTCAAAACGGCTGGGGGGATGTTGACGCTAGTAATATTGGCGCGAAACGTAAACATAGCGGCGAGGCTCAAACGGGATAGCCAGTTAGCCTGTAGAGTTTTTGTCGCCGGGCCAATGAAAGGTGTTTAGTGGTAGCCAGTCATACAAAGGGTTAAGATGCTCCCCACAACTACACCACTGTACCGCTGATTGATCCCATCCATCCGGCAAAAAGGAACATTTTAGTGATCTGTTTAAACCACAGTTAAACAGTGACTAACCGTAATTCCAAACAAACACTTTCTTTACGTGTCGCTGTCGGGGCCTGGTGCTGGCTAATACCTCAATACTGTACGTTAATTTAAAGCGTTGCAGCACTTAACACACATACATACACCCCAGGTAAACCCACACACACACACAGAGAGAACACACACATCCACAGACACGCACACACAACTTTTATTGTATCTAATGGGGGAATTTCCTTTTGTTTTTATGCAATCGAGATGAGGAAGGGAGGAAGTCGGAAAGGAGGAAGGGGAAGGAAGGTTGGAAGGTTGGAAGGGCAAGGAAGGTCGGAAAGGAGGAAGGGCAAGGAAGGTCGGAAAGGAGGAAGGGCAAGGAAGGTTGGGAAGGAGGAAGGACAAGAAAGGTAGGAAGGGCAAGGAAGGAGGAAGGGCAAGGAAGGTCGGCACAGGAAGTCGGAAGAAGGTTCAGGATCAGAAATAACAGAAAACGGCAACAAGCAATACAGAAAACGGCGCCAGTTAAGGGGTAACTTAAAACAAACCAAGAAAAATCATCTACTATCACCTACCTTCTAGAAGCTTGGATACGGCGTCTTCAATCCCCTTCTCCTTGGGTTTGTCGTGGTTTTTAGTCACTGGGGTTGTGGTAGTCGTGGTTGCATTGTCGCTCGCCATGGTAGGTCGCTGTGTGTGTGTGTGTGTGAGAGAGAGAGAGAGAGAGAGAGAGAGAGAGAGAGGTAAATATGGTTTTAGTTTTAATATTCTGAGTAGTGGATAACTTATTAACAAGATAATAATATAAACATTATTCCTGAAATAAAGACAAGTATTATACAGTACAGAGTAATATTGATAATACGAAAACGTAAGGCAAAAAATGGAACCAAATAATACACTTAATTTTTGGAGATATACAAGAAAATTGCAATGATAATATTTTCCCCAAGAAGCCATTATAATACACATCACAGCATCACAACACAGGCCACCACAGCATCACAACACAGGCCATCACAGCATCACAACACAGGCCATCACAGCATCACAACACAGGCCATCACAGCATCACAACACAGGCCATCACCAGCATTCCACAGGCCATCACAGCATCACAACACAGGCCACTACAGCATCACAACACACAGGCCATCACCGCATCACAACACAGCCATCACAGCATCACAACACAGGCCATCACAGGCCATCACAACACAGGCCATCACCGCATCACAACACAGGCCATCACCATCACAGCAGGCCATCACAGCATCACATCACAGGGCCATCCATCAGCATCACAACACAGGCCATCACAGCGTCATCACAACACGTCACATCACAGGCCATCACATCACACAGGCCATCATCACACACAGCCATCACAGCGTCACACAGGCCACCACAGGTCACATCACCGTCATCACAATCACAGGCCATCACAGCATCACAACACAGGCCATCACAGCATCACAACACAGGCCACAGCACACAGGCCATCACAGCATCACAACACCATCATCGCATCACAGCATCACAACACAGGCCATCACAGCATCACATGGCACAGCATCACAACAGCAGGCCATCACAGCATCACAACACAGGCCATCACAGCATCACACACAGGCCATCACAGCATCACAGGCATCACAACACAGGCCATCAAGGCCATCACAGCATCATCACAACACATCACAGCATCACACAGGCCACAGCATCACAACACAGGCCATCGCGCCATCACAACACAGGCCATCACAGCATCACAACACAGGCCATCACAGCATCACAACACAGGCCATCACAGCCATCTGCCCCAGGCAGCATCCTGCCGGCCATCACAACATCACAGCATCACAACACAGGCCATCAGCATCACAACACAGGCATCAGCATCACGCATAAGAATAAGCATTATTTAATCTACTGCCAGCAATTACCTACTATATATCTGCCTTCAACACGGTACGTCCCTCGAGCTGTTTTGTTTTTTATATTAAGAACCTTCTGACAATGTGAGCCTTGTTACGTCGCCCTCTAAACTATGTAATTGGTTGTTAGGAGTCGTCGGTAGCAGCGTCTAGATTACCTGTGCATGTTGTGTATATCATCTTGTGTGAAGTAGTGTGTGTGTGTGTGTGTGTGTGTGTGTGTGTGTGTGTGTTCATGGTTTTAAAAGTGTATATATATGTTTTAAAATAAACACTCACATGTGTATACCTTTTGTAGTGTATGTATTAAAATGTGAACACAATTCTAATAAACGTGTATGTTTTAAATGTATGTTTACTAATGCGTACATCTTCTGTGTGTACTTATTTTAAAACATGTTATTCTTTTTTAGTTGTGTACACTTTTACAAATACGTACATGAACAAATTTTCGACATGTATACATTTCCTGAAATATGTGTACTGTATATCTTTACATGAACGTCATTTACAAAGTAGAACCCGTACATCTATAGTTAACTTTCCATGTACGTTTTTCCAAAGTATCGTGTGTACATATATCACAAAGTATAGTGTAAACATCATTCAAAGCACTATTAAAACACACACACACACACACACACACACACACACACACACACACACATAACATAATAACACCACCTCGCTAACAGCCTCTACGGGATAACATGAAAATTATATAACTTAATACTTTTATTGACACCAAGTAAGATAATTTCTCTCTGGGTTAATGTGTGAACTTTACGGACATTAGGACATAAGGGTCTAGAAAGTATATATGCGTCGAGGAATTTTTTTTTGGAGGGACATGGGATTGGGATATTTAGACATGGGTTATGTTGAGATTAGGACAAGGGGTTATGTTGAGATTAGGACAAGGGGTTATGTTGAGATTAGGACAAGGGGTTATGTTGAGATTAGGACAAGGGGTTATGTTGAGATTTGGGACATGGGGCTATTATAAAATTTGGACATGGAGCCTCTGGCATTCTGATATCAAACACCATGTGAAATTTTTCTTCAACATTTCCACACATTAAACATTCTAAAACACTTTCTAAACATTACCGGTATTTTAAAAAAAATTCTCACGTCACGATAAACATTTCAGAAGCTTCCTCACACTTGGAGAAAAACGCTCGAAAAATGTCACACTTTCTCGCTCAAATAAAAACATTTCAAACACATACTTAAGAAATCATCACTAAATTATTCCAAGTATTTCCGCACAGTAGAATAAACATGTACTAATTATTCTAAACATTAGCTCACGTGAAGAATAAACATTTTAAGCCCGTATATAACACGTGGATAATCTCTCTCTCTCTCCCACACACACACACACACACACACACACAGAGGCGTTTTATATTTACACCCCAAAATGGAGAGATCGGATTTTATTTATTTTTTCTTTCCAATTATTGTACTTACAGATTAATTATGTTTAAGCTGAACCAAATGAAGTTTAAATCAAAACTGTAAATAAACTTAAAAAATTTGAAGCTCAAATTAGTAAAAGTAAAAATAAGCTTAGCACGTTTAAGCTTAAATTAATAAGTGAAAATAAGCTCAACAAGTTGAAGCTTAAATTACAGTGACAATAAGCTTAGCACGTTCAAGCTTAAATTACAGTGACAATAAGCTTAGCACGTTCAAGCTTAAATTACTAACAGTGAAAATAAGCTTCAATTACTAACACTGGAAATAAGCTTAACACGTTCAAGCTTAAATTACTAATATTGAAAATAAGCTTAGCACGTTCAAACTTAAATAATCAGCTGTGCAAATTCGCGAGGTAGTTGAAGTACTTAAGAACAGATGCACGTTGTTACAGACCAAATCCGGCTCGCGATGTATTTTTCCTGTAGCCGGATACGTTACAGCCCGTGTACAAAATAGTCTTTTATAACGGACATGAATCTAACCCGACCTGTGCTTGTCCTAATAGCAAACTGAACTGTGTGCTTGCGTCCAAAAAGCAAATTGAACTGTGCTTGCGTCCAAAAAGCAAACTGAACTGTGTGCTTGCGTCCAAAAAGCAAACCGAACTGTGTGCTTGCGTCCAAAAGCAAACTGAACCCCGTAATTGCATCCTAAAAGCAAACTGAACCCCGTGCTTGCGTCCAAAAAGCAAACTGAACTGTGTGCTTGCGTCCTAAAAGCAAACTGAACCCCGTGCTTGCGTCCAAAAAGCAAACTGAACTGTGTGCTTGCGTCCTAAAAGCAAACTGAACCCCGTGCTTGCGGCCAAAAAGCAAACTGAACTGTGTGCTTGCGTCCAAAAAGCAAACTGAACCCCGTAATTGCGTCCTAAAAGCAAACTGAACCCCGTGCTTGCAAAGGTCGCTAATTTCACCCACGGACTAAAAAGCATACACGTCTCTCAAGCAAAAATAAATTGAGAACAAGAAATGAAACGGAGAAATAACATATATTCTCCATAACTATATATTTCACGCCCCATCAGATCTATTTCATTGTTGTACTGAAAGGAATATATATATAAGCAATACATGATTCACTATTTGTTTAAAATTTGAATATATTTCAGTTGCTTCAGATATATTTCACGACTATATTTCTGCAACGAGATATGTAGTATCAGTTTTTTACCTATGAAAATTTTAATTAAAATCCTATTACAGGTTTTGACTATGTGAGGTTTGTATTAAAAAGTTACTGAAAAATATAAATTACACTTCATTGGTGCATATCAAATAAAATACCTTGAACTGTTATACTTCATGAATTCAATATTTTTCAGTTTTATACAGTAATTAAATATTATTAACTGCTGCATATTTCAAGTCAAATATTTTTCAAGTCTACTTTAATTTACTGTTGTACTTTTATAAATTTAAGTAGATTATTGTACTTTATAAATTAAATATTTTTCACTACTGTTTCAAATTAATTTTTGTATTGAATATGACTAGTTAATTAGCTTTTACTGCCGTATTTTGTAGGACTAAATGTTTTTCAACGATTTTTTTCAGCTATATTTCAGACAGGTATCTCACAGTTTTACAATAACAATTAAATATCTTTCAGTCACACCAAATACTTCTGAAATTATATATATATATATATATATATATATATATATATATATATATATATATATATATATATATATATATATATATATATATATATATATATATATTTCTCTGGGTTAAAATTATACAAAAGTTTCAACCACAAAAGTAATTAAGAATCGAACGAGTGTCTTCAAGTTGTTCAGTGCGATAAGGTTCCTTTTAGACACTATCTCCAGGTGTTTAAGATACTTATGAACAATATGAACAGCCGGTACCCCATTTAAATGTAAAGTTCACAATATTTCTAAATATGTCATAATCTCAATTAATTTCAAATACCACTTAATTTTAGGTATGAAACAGAAGAGCTACGAGAGTTTGATAATCTATTGCATATCTTGTGATTAAAAACAAGTGTGTGTAAGGGGTTTAAACATTGTAGTAGTTTCCATACAATGAGTTCCTTCACCACCAGGGTCTTGAGGCACCGACTATATCTAAACAAGACAAACCCTTTTAAAAATCAAGAGAGATAGTCTTTCTTTGTATCTTTATCTCTGGCAGTCAACGTATAATTTGTCACCGCAGGCCACCTCACTATACAAACACTGCAGACAACTTAAAATACATTCAATCTTGTCGAAGAATCAGGTCTAAGAGTATCGCGTATATCATATGGCCACGAGCACAGGATGGGTTTAAATAGAAGCCTTGTTAGTGGCAAACGAAGCTCGGAAGGAACACACAACGAGAGGCTCTGTTTATCCCTCCACCAACATCAAACTCTCACACACCGACACCATCTGTAGATCAAAATCTCAACACTCCCGACCTCACACTAGGTTATTAATGTCTTCCACTACACTCAGGGCCCAGTCACTACTACAATGCTCTCTTCCAGTCCTTAGAAAAAAAAAAGAAGGAACTCCGTCACGGGGGGAAAACTTTCACGATACGGACAGTTAACGCAGCATCGCTTGATAGGATTGGCTATTCCTGTTCTCCCTATCTACCCCGACAATCACACTCCAGATACTCGCATCTCGCTGTCAAAGTATCAGCTATGACATCTCACTCACTTGTAAAATCGGCAAATCTCAATTCCGGAAAGGTATTTTTTTCCTCCTGTGGGAGCAAGTTTATCAATGCTGTAGTTGTCAAGGAGTTCAAAACGACGGATTGTTCCTGTGAGAGAGTGGAGTAGCTTGTAAAGTTGGGCACAACACTGGTTCACAGGCCGTCTCAATACAGGCCTGTTACGTAAATACGGCAGGTTGTGTGCGCTGATTACGGTGGAGAATACGTTACTGTCTGGCGAACACGGGACGCGCTCTTCTTGTGAGCCCAAACCTGTGGAGTCATTGGGAGGTTGTCGGGCCCGCGCGCGCCCACTGGAACAGCCACCACCCCTCCCTCCCTCACGTCACACAACCCAGGTGCTCAAGCCAGAACAACCCTAATTGTTTCCCCACGTGATTTAAGCACGCTTTCATCTCTTAATCGGGCACTACATCAAGGTGCTTTTGATACTTATAGCTGATGGTATCTAGAGATTAGTCGAATAATGTAAAAATCTTAAAGACTAATCTGGGAACAATGAGGCGTTAGGAAATACTTCAGGCTGGCGCGCGGCTGGGAGGAGTCAGCGTGAGGTGGGAGGGCTCAAGGAGTAAATGGGTGGAGTCTACCACACAAACCACGCCCACATATTTGCTAGTACATCTATTACACTCCCGCCAAAGTTACATAGTTTTGTGATCTCAACATTGTGTTAGCGAGTGTCTGTTATCAATCACAGTGAACAAAGTTTACGGATGTGCACGACAGCAAATAGCGTGTGGCCAAACTAACATCACGATGGCCTACCGTACCTGCAAGAAAGAATACGGAATATTTACCGCATATTCTTCTTAAAAAAATATTACAGATAGAGGCCGTTTCTTTGATATATATACAGTAGAGTAGAGGAAGTCAAGGCTGTGTCATCAAATCATGTCAGCCTCACCTTTATCAACCGAACGAGACCAAAAAAACTGGATGTGGACATAAAACCTGGAAATTATAATAAAAAATCTTTGAAATTGACTGAAAAATCTGGAGCACACGGGATACTATCATACGTAAACCATAAAACAATAGTGTGGGAACATGACAGTCTAGACGGTATTTTAAACGGCGAAAATAATAATTACCGCTCTACAAACAGCGATGTAGACAGACCGAGGCACGTGTATTGGTGTTTGTTTTATTCCTGAAGAACAAGTGTGTATCGGTCAGACATGAAGCCTGAAATTAGCCCTTAAGGGTACAGGCGAACAAGGGATGGTGTCACCGGTAATTGCTATGACGTTGGTCGTCAACAAAACCGTCGCCGATCGTAAACAAGAACACCTAACGGCGGCAAACGGGATCGACCGCTGAACGCAAGCAAAAGCTCCAACGCCTTCCAACAAAATTAGATATACTGGCGGCAAGCAAGAGCGAACGATGCTTGAAGTCAGAGCAGACATCGACAACAAGCAAGCGAAGACACCGGCTGCAAACAAGAGAGGAAGAAACTAACACAAGCACCAACAGAGCCTAAGGATCAAACAACAGCGAATTACCGACCTACCGACCGCAAGTACCAGCACGCACTAAACGCTAGCGGCGGCCAAACACAATCCTCCCGAGGCTGTGACACAAACATTAGTCTGAAGTAAAACCGTAACGCGTTAATCGTAAATGACAGGTTACATGCTACAGTTTCAATGGGTGAGGGTTAAATAGGTCCCCAGTCCTATGTACAGAACCTAATCTAACCGAACCTAACCGAACCTAACCTAACCGAACCTAACCGAATCTAACCTAACCTAACCAGTGGGATTTTGAGCCCATTTTACTAGGTAAGATTGGGGCCTATTATGGCTAGGCCCCAAGACAAAGCCCCAATCTCTGTGGTCAGTTTGGGGACCTATTCGACCTATTATCATTTCGACGTCGATTTTTGTTATCTATACATTCTAACAATCTTCAATTTTCTCTCTCATTCATTCTAACATTCTTCAATTTTCTCTCTCATTCATTCTAACATTCTTCAATTTTCTGTCTCATTCATTCTAACATTCTTCAATTCTCTCTTGTCTCATTCATTCTAACATTCTTCAATTTTCTGTCTCATTCATTCTAACATTCTTCAATTTTCTCTCTCATTCATTCTAACAATCTTCAATTTTCTCCCTCATTCATTCTAACATTCTTCAATTTTCTCTGTCTCAATCATTCTAACATTCTTCAATTCTCTCTTGTCTCATTCATTCTAACATTCTTCAATTCTCTCTTGTCTCATTCATTCTAACATTCTTCAATTCTCTCTTGTCTCATTCATTCTAACATTCTTCAATTCTCTCGGCTCATTCATTCTAAACATTCTTCAATTCTCTCTTGTCTCATTCATTCTAACATTCTTCAATTCTCTCTTGTCTCAATCATTCTAACATTCCTTTTCTACCATCAAAACATTCTTCAACTCGTCACCAATTTCGCATTTCCTTTCATGCACAATTTCTCCTTTTCTCCTTACATCTCCTCTTTATTAACCCTTCTTTATAATTCCATTTTCATTATATTATTTCCATCCTTACGATGTTTTATCAGTGTTTGCCTGTCTCCCTCTTCCGTAAATATTCGGGTTGTAAACAAATATTAAAAAAGTTTTTTACAATGACATGATAAGTCTAGCATCATTTAGCATTAGTTAAATTTACTACAAGTACCATGATATAACTGGCTAAATTAATATACTGATTAACTACAGTGTATAATTGCGTTATAATATTAGCTTCTTAAAACAGGTGATATATAGCTGCTTCTTGAGCTATATGATTGAGTTATATAGTCTAATTCTGAGTTTATAGCATTTTTATAGCTGCTCAAAGCTAGTTCTATATTCTAACATTAAAGTATTTAACAGCCAGTGAAGGTAATTATTATATTTTAACAATTACAGCACTTAACAATTGTGACGTGATATAATTAACTAATAACACGTAATTGTTGCTCCACATCTGTAATATAATTCGCTATAATTTCAGAAATATTTAGCAATATTTCTCTGTTGATATAATTTCCTCTATAACAATTAAGTTACTTGTGTTACTTATCATTCTCTAGTCTTTACTTATTAGATTATACAAAAGCTAATTACGTGGTTATTCACCAGCTAATTAAATAGATACTATTCAACGCTGGTAAACTATAATTCACCGATTATTTACAAATGATTATTCAACGTTGTATAATTCACTTAACAAATTATTATTCACTAGGTAATTACTTGATTATTCATCATTGTATAAATTCACTCATCAAATCTTATAATTCAACAGCTAATTATATGGTTATTCAACGCTCATTATATAACTATTCAACCGTTTAAACAGTAATTATATTCCCGTTATAGTACTGACTATAAGCCAACAGTCACTCATCACCTGTTATACGAGCTCTATAGTACAAGACAGTCAATCAGACGTACTCATTGGCTGTCATTCACTTTATCTATTTCAACAGACAGCCACTCAAACACTTATTCATTGTCTGTTGTATGTCACCTAGTTAAATAAATCCTCATACAGTAATTTATTCAACGCTTGTTACGTAATAATAATAATAATAATAATAATAATAATAATAATAATAATAATAATGATAATAATAATAATAGTAATAATAATAATAATAATAATGATAATATAATAATAGTAATAATAATATAAATAGTAATAATAATGACAAAATAATAATAATAATACCATAAACAACAGCAATAATAATAATAATAATAATAATAATAATAATTATAATAATAATAATAATAATAATAATAATAATAATAATAATAATAATAATACAGTCGCAGTTTAGTTTCAATCTTTTTTTTTTAAGTTTTGTCAATAGAGAGAAAATATTTGCGCTTGTTTATTGTTTGTTATAAGTGATCGTGTTTATAATTTCTGGGCTGACGGGCGGATGAATGCACGAAACGGACGAACGAATGCACGGACGAACAAGCAAATGCACGGACGAACAAACAAATGCACGGACGAATGGATAAACTAGCAGACAAACTCGCAGCCCCTTCCCGAGACAGCGAGGAATTGTAATTGGTGTAATGGTGATAAACTTTACCTAAATTGGCAGAAGACAACTGAATTTAACCCAATTTTACAGCGCAGTTTTATTTCATATGTCTCCTTTGTTTTACCTATTTTTTTTTCCTATTCATCTCTTTCTCTACCTTTCCTTTCCATCTTTCTCTTCAATCTTTCTCTACCTTTCTCTCTAGTGTTTATCATTTTACCCCCTCTCTCTCTTCCTTTCTCTCTATTCTTTTCATTTCTTTCGCTTTCTCTTCATTTTCCTTTATTTTTTGCCTTTTCTTTTTATGTTCTTTTCTTTTCCCTTCCATCTCTTCCATTCTCTCCCCAAATACAGCCTTTCCCCTTTTTTTATCCCTTAATCTCGTCATTCCATTTCCTTCTTCTCTTCTCTTCTCTCTTTCTTCATCATTATTCTATTTTCACGATTCTTCTATTTCCTTCTTTCGTGTACCCTTTCCACCACCTTTATTTATTTTCTATCCTTTACCCTCTCTTCTCTCCCCTTTACCTTCCCTTCTTCCCATCTCCGTTTCTCCTTTTCTCTCTCTCTCTCTCTCCTACTTCTCTATGTTTCTTCTCTTTCCTACTTCTCCCCTATCCATCTCCTCTTCCTTATTTCCTGTTTATCCTTCCTTCTCTCACCAGCCTCACTTTTTTCCTTCATTTTCCTTTCCACTTCTCTGCTTCCATTTCTCTTTCTCTCTCATCTTCTCCCTCACTTCCCTCCCTCCTTCTCTCTTCCTTCCCACCTCTTCCTCCCTTTCTAAATCTCCCCTTATCATTTCCTCCCCAACACACACACACACACACACACACACACACACACACACACAGCTGTTGATCAGATAGGAAGAAATCACAGAGTCAATAAAATAAAATCACACTCACTAAATACAAATCACACACTCAATATATTTCAATCACAGAGTCAATAATTTTAAGTCCATCTGATTCACACGTCTTCTCTAAGCTAATCTTCCAAGGCCAACCTCACGTGTTTACACCAGTCGTATCCAAACATTTATTCGTGTGTAAATAAAAGATGTAAAGGAGACCAAATAATAAATAAGCCGCTTTAAATAATAAGTAATTGGGGTTAATCGAGAAAAAATAAGATTGAAATTGGTGTAAATTGGATATGTAAATTGGGCAGAATTAATAGGTTGTTTAAATGTATGTAAATATGATAAAATTAAATGAATAATGTAAACAGGACAAATATGG